ACATGGACAGTGCATGATCCCTATGCTTTGCTTAAGATGCCCCCGTGCATGGTCCACCCATGCCTGCATGACCTTTTCGCTGATTGGTTCCCCTACTGCACATGTCTTTTGTAAGCCTTATAAGTCTGTACATTTCCTCAATAAGGTGGTTCCTGCTTCGACAGACCCATTGACCTTACCTTTCCCGTTTGCCTTGTCAGGGAGTGCTTGTACTGTTCCCTGCTGGTCAGGGGCCAGCCTCAGGCTTAAGACTCCAACATCTTTGTTGAGGTGTATTTTTTGTAGTCAGCAAATAGATGAATATTGTTTTTTTTAAGCCATCCATTCAGTCTGTATCTTTTAATTGGGTAATTTAGGCCATTTACATTCAAGGTTATTATTGTTAAGTAATGACTCAGTCCTGCCATTTTTCATTAACACTTCTAGTGCTCATTTTGGATTTCTTTTGTACTTTTATAGGGGATTTTCTGCCTTCACATTCTTTCTTGGTGATGACTTTCTCTGTTTCTATTTGTAGCACAACTTTAGGTATTATTTGTAGGTCTGGATGAGTGGTGACAAATTCTTTCAATGACTATTTATTCTGGAAGGTCCCTGCTAATGTGCCTGGGAAAGCAGTGGAAGATGGCCCAAGTCCTTGGGCCTTTGCATCTACATGGAAGACCCAGATGAAACTCCTGGCTCCTGGCTCCTGGTTTTAGTCTTCCCCTGCCCCATTTGTTACAGCCATTTGGAGAGTGAGCCAGCAGATGGAATATCTCTCTATGTCTGCCTCCATCTCTCTTTAACTCTGCCTTTCAAATAAATAAATAAATCTTAAAAAAGAACATGTAGATAGTATTGCCAGAGTAGTTGAGTCAAACCTGAGCTGTCTACCTTAAAAATAAGAGTTTAGGTTTAGAAAAGTTTCTTTGTATATTTTGGGCTATTTTCTAGCAGAAATACAGGAATTATTTAGTCTCTTTGCCTGGAGTTCAAACTTCTGCTCCTTTGAAGCAAGTTGCTCACTTCTGATGTCTATATTTTACTTGATATCCAAGTCCTAGCCACTGTTATTCCAGAGACTTGCCTGGGCTGGCTGCAAGGTGTAATGGAAATTGGGAAATTGCCTGGCACTGAGGCATCAAGAAATCCAGAGTCTAGTGCCAATTTGGTATTAACTAGCACTAGGTCTTGTTGGAAAGGTGTCTATCACTTTTATGACAACTGGCAAAGATCCTGAAGTGAGTTTGAACTATTTCTCTTAGTTTCCTATGGCTGTTGTTAATAGATGACTATGCACTGGCTTAAAAGAACGGTGGGCTAATCCTCTGCCTGCGGCACCAGTACCCCAGGTTCTAGTGCTGGTTGGGGCACCAGTTCTGTCCCGGTTGCTCCTCTTCTAGTCCAGCTCTCTGCTGTGGCCCGGAAGGGCTATAGGATGGCCCAAGTGCTTGAGCCCCTGCACCTGCATGGGAGACCAGGAGGAAGCGCCTGGCTCCTGGTTTCAGATCGGCGCAGTGCGCCGGCCGTGGTGGCCATTTGGGGGGTGAACCAATGGAAGGAAGACCTTTCTGTCTCTCTCTCTCTCACTGTCTAACTCTGCCTGTCAAAAAAAAAAAAAAAAAAAAAAAAAAAAAACAACCACAAAAACCCAAAAAACACATTTATTTATTCTCTTCCAATTCTGGAGATTTTATGGGGCTAAAATAAAGGTATTGGTTCCTTCTGGTGGCTTCGTGGGAAAAGCCATTTCCTTGCCCTTTCCAACATTTAGAGGACACTTCCGTTCCTCGGTTAATGGCTCCTTCCTGGCGTCATTGCCGCCTCAGGTTCCATGACCCTGACTCTTACTCTTCTCTCTGATTCCTCCCATGTTCTCCTCATAAGTTGCCTTGGGATTACACTGAGTCTGCTGGGACAGTCCAGGATTCTCCCCTTTTGACAAGGCCACCTCTGCTGAGTTCTTTTGCCACATATGGAAACACTGAAACCTTCAAAGGTTTGGAGGTTACCACGTGGACCTATCTGGGTGCTGTTAGCCAGTCTACCATAGTAACCACAGTGGTCAGTGACAGATGATGGGGGATGGGAAAGAATGAACTCATTTCTTGGTGAATGACACTATCAACCCTACTGAAGCCCAGACTTCATCTCAGTGTGGTGTATGACCTCAGGCAATGTTCCCCACTTTTTTCTCTTTTACAAAATTGGGCCTTTATTGCAGAGTTAAGTTCATTGTACTCCTCAGTATTAGTTTGTGCAAGGTATCAGTTTTATTTGATTATAATTTTAATATTCTTATCTCTTCCTTTCAATTTATTACTCCCCTGTCATCTCAATATGTCCTCTCTAACACATTTTCAATTTGACTTTAGATATATGCATAATATTATATATGCATGTGTTTTAATTAAATGGAATGTATCTCTTGTGTTTCTTGCTTTTTCTTCTCATTGTCATGTAATTCAAAATTTGCCCTTTGCAATAACTTAGTTACCAAGTCTGTAGTGGTGGGCATCTAGGTTGCTCCAAAATCCCTGCCACGGATGCATCATATCTCTGGGTCACCACATCCCCCGTTTGCAAGAACTTCTCTGAAGTATACATCCAGAAGTTGGAAGTATGTTCCTAGGATAATAATTGTTAGACTTCTCTCAAGAAAGACTGTCCATTTCTTCTACCAGATGAGCTGGTTTGGGTTCCCAACATTTACACCAACACTTAGTGTTTTCTGATTCTGTTTCTTTACATATGATACTACAAAGTGATGTCATATTTATTTTTAATTTTCTTTCAGCACTGGAAGAGTTGTGCTTTACATGTGTGCTAGTTTTCAGGTTTTCTGGTTTTATGAACACAAAAGATAATTGTCATTTATATAGATGTAAATCATTTGGTCATTTCTTTATTGGTTTAAGTAGCTTTTGTTGTTATTGTTAGTCAATTTTTTTGTTCCTTAGACATTCTAGAAATTCCTTTGTTGAGACAATTAAAATGTCTCTAGATACACTCAGATGTAGATACCACATCCATTATAGATGTGTAATAATCTTTGTGCAATCACCTATGTTTTAAAGTTTGAGTGGTTCTTGTGATGGAAAGAAATTTAACAATTTCCCCCTATGGTGTGTGATTTTGAAGTCTTAGTAAAAATATCTTTCCCCAAATAAAAAGGTAAAAGAGATTCTCTCCTATATTTTCTTCTATTAGCTTTATATTTTTTTCTTTAGACTTTTACTTTTTTTTAATCCTGAGCTCACCTTTGTACGTGATGTGAGGCACGACCCTACCTAAATATTCCCATTTAGTAATCAGTTTTCCTCACACACCCACAAACAACACATCCTTGCTTCACTTATGTAGTGTCATCTTCATTGTAAGGAAAGTTTCCATATGCACAGGGTTCTCTTTCTGAATTCAATATTTACTTGCACTTATCTGTTCCTATATCAGTACCGTATGGATTTTTAAAAGTTTTATTGACTTATTTTTGTTTATTTGAAAGGCAGAGGGAGATAGAGAACAACCTTCCATCTGTTGCTTTACTCCTCAAATGTCTGCGATGGCCACAGTTGGACCAAGAAGAATGCAGGAGCTTAGAACTCCATCTGGGTCTCCCACACGTGTGGTAGAAACCCAAGTACTTGAGCCATCACCTACTACCTCCCAGGGTGCACATTAGCAGGAAGCTGGATTGGAAGCAGAAGAGCTGGGACTCAGAGCAAGCACTCTGATATGGGATAGGGGAGTCCCAGGTGGCAACTTAACCGCTGAGCCAAATGCCCACCCCAGAACCATGCGTTCTTTAAAGTCATCGAGGACATGTAATATGTCTTAATTTCTAGCAGGCAGACACTTCCTCTTTTCTATGCTTAAGGAATAATTTTAGATTTTTGTGAACTTTTGTTTTTCTATATCCTGAATATACTGAGGTCTCCTAAATGTCCTGTTGTAATTTTGACTGGAATTCAGTGGAAATGACACATGTAATTTTTCATTCTTGGCACTGTGTGGAGTATAAAGTGCAATGTGCTTATGTTCTAGAGAGCTATTTTCATCATTTATTGCAAATTATAGAAGGACAAATAATATATTTGTATGTAGGAACTGGGCATAAATTTGAAATACATCCCATGGGTTTTGGCTTAACATGCAAGTATGACAAAAGGTTCATTGCTCTTTGAATATTTCTATGATCATAGTCATAGCATTTGCACAACACTTGATGGTGTAAGAAGCTGTTCCATGTGCAGACACAATTGCAAATGCAAGCTCCCAACTTCAGAGTCTTTCCCATAGACCTTTTCCACTTAATGTGAACCCTATGGACTTTTAAGTTCTTTCTGATGTGTTTCTTGGCTGAAAGCCTTCATGTTGGAGCAAGAGGCAAAGTGAACTCTTTCTTAGATTGTGCATCTCTAGTTATTTGAAGATTCGTTTTACTAGGAGCATGGTTATTTACCATGCACACAAGCTCTTTGACTATCACATAAAAGCAGATTTCTATCTATAAGAACAAACATTTTGCAGATGCAACTGTGGAAATTTTGCAGATAACAACTGTGGAAAAGGGGTTAGAGGATACATTATATTTTATGCATGTTTGGCCTGGTAAAATTTTCAGCATGTCTGTCTTCGTATGCATCCTTTCATATAGAACTGTGCCTGTTTCCCACTTCAGTGCTTATTTTCCCACTCTTCTGATGTTCTTGGTTTTTCCTGTCCTTGGCTGTTGGCTGTCAGGAAGTAATCTATAACTCATCCAGACCAAGATGTAAGTGATTAGTAGAGCTCAATGCATTGTCTACCAGTGATATTGGCACATATGTCTAACAAAAAGCATAGAACTACAAGCTGAGCATTGATCCCTTTAGGAACCCATAAAATTGTAACTTGTATTCCATTTGTGTACAATCTCAGCTTTAGAACTAAGGATAGGATTCAATCAAAAACAAAAATAATGGTTGGATATACTTGTCATTAGTTTTCTTTTTTCTTTTCTTAATTATTGTCCCTAGGTTGCTTCTCGTGACTACAGTAACTTCCAGTGCATTGCTGAGGAGATGCCTGGGAGTAGCCCAAGGCCCTCTGGAGGCTGTGGGGTCCACCAATGCATCCTTGCTTGCCCAATGAAGAGACACATGATCTTCAAAATTCAATCCCTTGGATTTGGCCAAGGGGATTAGAACCGCCTATAATATATTTATCTGCCTAGTATGCAGATTTTCAAAGGAAAATATGGTTTTATTTGGCATGTCTGAAAAGTATCCAGGGGCCAAAGAACCTCATTCCAGCCAAATCAATAAATACAGAGAAGCATCTCTTGTCTACTATAGTGGATCAACTGGAAGGATGATGACAGCTGTTCCTGTTGACTTTTCCTGAAACTGACTCAACTTAAACTTTGTAAAAAAAGCTTAGGTCAACAGTACATCACCAGCTAGTTTCTGCCAAATAGACTGAACTTTCTTCCAAAGCTGAGTTAGAGTTGGGAAGAGCCAATGGGAAAAATGAAGCCAAGGTCATGCTGAGTTCAGCTCAGGCTTTGGAAAGTGTTTTTCAGAACTCTGCTATCCTAGGTTGCCCTCAAAGTAAGTGGGGAAAAATAATTAACAAAACTGTATGTGTGTGTATTTGGGAAACACTCAACCATTTCAAGACTGTCCTGACTATGACAAGAATGCATTTCTAACCATGGATCATGAAGAAAACCATCATCCTTTGCAGGTGGTTTTTGGACATGCACTGATTGCTATGGTGAAGTTCCATAAAGGTAACTGGGAAGATGAATAACTGCTACTTTATCCCTTCCCAGTTATCTGGAATTTCCTTAAAGGTTGAAGGAATGCCTTGTTTGACTCTAGTACATAGCATGATGGCCAATACACAGTACATGTATAATTAAATGTCATTACATGATAGGATAACAGCAACAGATAATGCTGGGAGTAGCTTCATTATCTTACTCAGCTAAGAGGCTCCTCAATCTGGAAGGTTGTGTCGACCAAAATTTATTGGGGGTGGATAAATCCTTCTAACCTATAGAGATGAAAAATCATGCTTAAAAATTATGGAAGGGCCAGGCATTGTGGCTGTCCTTGGGATGTCTGTATTCCAGGTCAGAGCAGCAGATCAAGTCATGGCTATTCCATGCTTATGATTCAGCTTCCTGCTAATGTACTTGGGAAAGCAGAGGATGATGGCCCAGGTCCTTGTGTTCTTGGCCCCCATGAGGAGGACCCAGATGAAGGATGAAGTTACAGGCTCTTTGCTTGGGCCTTGTCAACCTGGCTGTTGCAGGCTTTTGAGGATTGAAGCACTGGATGGAACATTCTCTCTCTCAATCTCTCTCTCTCTCAAATAAATAATTAATCTTTAAAAAGAGTGCAAAACACATAAATCCATAGTTTTTTAGAATAGGTGTATCTGTCACTTAGCATTGACTCCAAGGAATGCTATTATATAAGACAAATGAAATTTGGGGGCTGAGGGGCAATTATAGGTCTAAGGGTAGAGTAAAGATAAGGAGGAACTTTAAAGGAAAAAGAAGTTAGAACACATAAGAGGGCATGCAGACACCTGGCTTCCTGGATGAATATAGCATTTCCTTTTGTTTCTGCAGCAGATAGCAGTCCAGAAGCAGTGAGAAAACAGTCTTGGTTTGGTTTCTTTTGTAACACACTTTATTTTTTGGAGATGTTTTAAGTTCACAGAAAAGTTGAGCAGAAGGCATAAAGATTTTCTATGAACTCACAGCTCCCATGCAAGCATAACCTCCCCTGCCCTCCACATTCTGCCCTACACTGTCCCATTATGATCATCTGAAGTGCAGAGTGTATGTTGGCTTCTCTCTTGGTGGTATGCAAGCTGTGGGTTCTATGAGACAAATGTATAATGATGTGGATCCACCACTACAATGTCACACTGAGTAGTTTCACTGTCCTGCAAGAAACCTGTGTTCTTCCTTCCTTCCACTCAACTCCCACAGCCACCATCTTCTTACTGTCTCTATAATTTGGCTCTTTCCAGAATGATCTATTATTGGAATCATACAGTATGTAGCCTTCTCAGGTTAGCTTCTTTCCCTTAGTGATGTGCAGATTGTGAGGGATTCAGAGTTCCTCATCTCTTTGTTCTACCATCATTGGCTTATCTGACTTTCATCTCTTCCTGTAAACATAACATCTTAAATAAATTATTTTCTTTATGCAAGAACTTTCACACCTGGAAGCACAATGTGTTGATTTTTGGAGATACAGTCTAGTCCCACAAAAAGAGCAGCATGTAAACATGGCTGGTGTTTTATTCTCTCTTTCCTCTCTCCCTCCATCTCAGTCTCAGTTTTGTGGCTTTAAAAACCCTCTACCTCCCTCTTGTGGACATCTACTGAGAAGCAGGCATACTCTTCAAAGCTAACAGGACCTCTGGCTGGGGGAATGATTAACAAAGAAGTAACTTTTGGGATTATCACTTGGCTTCCACCAGTGGGCTGCTTGAAGGTGGGCATTGACTTCCCACTCCCACCACCTCATACCCACACTAACTAGTTGGTACAATTTGATAGAGTCAGATAGATTTCTGTTGCTGGTTGCCTGTGAGCAGTTTTTCCTGTTTTTCTTGTCTCAGTCTCCAGGTTTGGAGTCAAGGAAGAAAGTGTTTTCTTCATGGAAATGTATGAAGCTGCTCCTCAGAGTTTACTGCTGGATTTGGATGGAGCAGCCGCCCCCTTTTGGAGTATTGCTTGGTGGACTCAGAAGGTCCTTCCTTCTCTGGTGTCCAGGTACCAGGGAATTACTGTGGACCAGTTCTCTTCCCCAGAGCTGGGCATGAATTTAAAAGTTATATTTATTTTTAATCCTTATTTTATTTATTTTAAGCATCAGAGAGGAGGAGATAGAGACCTTCATCGACCAGCTCATTCCCCAGTTGCTCAGGAGTTGGAAGTGCAGTCCAGGTCTGCCATGTGGGTGGCAGCAACCTAACCACCCAAGTCATCACCACTGCATAGCAAGATGTATGTTAGCAAGAAGCTTGAATCAGGAGTGGAGCTAGGACAGGCACTCCAAAATGGGACTTAGCTGTCTTAACTGCTGCACCAGACACCTGTCCCTAAACATTTTTATTTATTAATTATAAAAGAAACACATTTTTGTTTTTCTATTAAAATACACACACACACACACACACACACACACACACACACTTAGGAAAAGCAGATAGTGCAAGAAAAGCAAAAGTCACCTGTGAATTTAAGCATATGGTCCTGGTAACAGTCACCTATGAATCTTAGCATATGGTAGGTCATACTGTCAACAGTTTGCATGAGGGTCCATGCTGTGGTGTAGAGGGTAAAGTTGCTGTCTGCAGGTGCTGACATCCCATAGGGGTGCTGGTTCAGTCCTGGCTACTCCACTTCTGATCCAGCTCTCTGCTAATGTACCTGGGAAGGCAGCAGAGGATGGCTCAACTGCTTGGGCCCCTACACCCACATAGGAGACCCAGAGGAAGCTCTGGGCTCCTGGCTTTGACCTGGCCCTGCCCTGGCTATTGCAGCCTGGCTGTCTCTGCCTCTGTCTTTCCCCCTCTCTCTGTAACTCTGTCTTTCAAATAAATAAATAAATCTTAAAAAAGTTTGCATATGATCATCCTGTATGTACATACTTCTCTGAAACATTATATTCTATAATAGAATAGAAGTGATTTTATGTTACTCTTTTCCCACAAAAATATATTGCACACATTTTCCCATGCTATGGTATAAACTTACTTAATCTTTTTAATGCCTTTCTCAGGCTGGCATTAGTGCATTGCACTTGATTTCTCTCTGTGAGGATAGAAAGATTTAACAGATCTTCCCTAGGCACCAGCTTTGTGGTGTGTAGCAGATAAGGCTGCAGCCTGCAATGCTACCATCCCATATGGTCATGGTTTGTGTCCTGTGCGCTTTCCCATCCAGCTTCCTGCTAATGGCCTAGGAAAAGCAGCGCAAGATGGCCCAGTATTTGGGCCCCTGCTACCTACGTAGAAGACCTGGAAGAAGTTCCTGGCTCCTGCCTCCTGGCTTTGGCTTGGCCCGGCTCTGGCTATTGTAGCCGTCCATGTGGAGTGAACCAGTAGATGGGAGATCTATTTCTTTGTCGCTCTCTCTCTGTGTAACATTGACTTTCAAATAAATAAGTAAATCTTTTATCAAAAGGAGATCCTCCCTGGTAGTTGTCAGTGAGTTCTCAGGTCAGATAGTGCTACCCCCAGGTGGGCTTCTGAAGTCTTAGTCTATCCAAGGGGCTTCCTTGTTTCATTTGTGACTTCCTTGATGCCACGGATCACTAGCTCTCTGAAATGATTTTTGTTTGCAACAGTAATTCAAAAGGTTTGTGGAAAACCAAACTAAAATTATGAGTTAATTTTGGTGCAATAATCACTTTGAAATCCATGCAAAGCAATATGGGATGCAGGTGCCCAAACCAAGACTTCACTTCTGAGCCAAATGCCCACTCCCTAAATGCATTTAAACAATTTCTTTTGCAGAGCATTTTGATTGTACCATTTTTATCACTATTACAAGATTTTTTTGTTTATTTGGATGATTATTTTCTTTATCTCAATATTTAAATGTAAGCATTTTAGACATAAAGATATAAACAATAGAGTAATGAGCATTTATATGTCTTTCATCAAGGTTAAAAATGTTCACCCTGGGGCCAACGCTGTGGCATAGTGGACTAAGCCTCTGCCTGAAGCACCAGCATCCCATATGGGTGCCGGTTCTAGTCCCGGCTGCTCCTCTTCCAATCCAGCTCTCTGCTATGGCCTGGGAAAGCAGTAGAAGATGGCCCAAGACCTTGGGCCCCTGCATCCGTGTGGGAGACCCAGAAGAAGCTCCTGGCTCCTGGCTTTGGATTGGACCAGCTCTGGCTGTTTAAGCCATTTGGGGAGTGACCCAATGGGTGGAAGACTGTCTCTCCCTCTCTTTGTCTGTAACTCTACCTCTCAAATAAATAAATAAATCTTAAAAAAATGTTCACCCTGAGAGGCAGTGGAAGATGACCGCAAGTACTTGGGCCCCTGCTACCCACATGAGACAGCTGGATAGAGTTCCTGGCTCCTGGCTTCAGCTTTGTCCAGAGCTGGCACTTGCAGGAATTTTAAACGTGAACCAGCACATAGGAGTTCTGTCTCTAAATAAATTTGAAAATATAAGCTTATTGTACTGTAATTTCTTTTACTTTTGAATTAAAAGTTTATTTCTATTTTTTTTTACCAAGAAAAACTTATCTTTCAATTCCATTTTCCATGAACTTGCTGAAATATGCTTATAAGTGACATCATACAGTGCATGTCCTTTTGGATGGGTTTTATTCACTTCAAATGAAAATGTTGTGAGTTGCAGCACACTTCATTTTTAAAGGTGAAACAATATTTCATTTAATAGTATTCTGTTTCACTGCATATACATGTGGAATGTGGGTGTAACACATACATGAGGGTATTTCAAAATTTCATGGAAAATAGAGATGTAAAGTGTGTTTATTTTAGTGCATTTTTTCAAAATACTTGGAAAAATCTGTATTATGAAAAACTATGCATTGATTTCAAAATGTTTTTCAGCAAAAAGCTAATATTTCCATTTTTCCAGTTACTTTTCAAGTTTCCTCATACACTCATGTGTGTGTGTGTGTGTGTGTGTATGTGTGTATATATATATACACACACACAATGTTACCATGTTTTCTTTATCTTTGGGTGAATGTTCTATTTCCATATTTTGGCTCTCATGAATAATGCAGATATCTCTGTGAGATCCTGATTTCAATTTGTTTGGCTATATATTCATATCAGAACAAATATTGCTGGGTCATACATTAACTCTATTTTTGATTTTTGTGGAACCTCAATATTGTTTTCCATAGTAGTTGCAACATTTTACATTCTCATCAACAGTGTACAAGGCTTCCAGTTTTTCCACTTCCGTGCCAACACATTTATTCTTTTTTATGGTTATAGGCATCCTAACAAGTGTGAGGCCCTATGACATTGTCATATTGGTTTGCATGTTCTTGATTATGAGTGATGTTGAGCACCTTTTCAACATATTTCCAAAAAACAGTACATAGTTACAATAATTGAAATGACATGGTATTGACATACAGACAAACATACAATCCAATGGAACTGAATAGAGATCTCAGAAAAAAAAATCTATGCACATAGTGAACTGATCTTCCACAAGAATATACACAACAGGGAAAGGATAGTTTGCTCAACACATGGTGTTGGGGAAACTAAATATAGGTGAGCATGACATCAAACTAATAACATAGTATATACCTGTTTTAGACATTTGTGTCTTTGAGGAATGTCTGTTCAGGTTCTTTGGCTGATTTTTCAAAATGAGGTGTTTTTGTTGTTTTGTTTTGCTGTTATTGAGTTTTTAGAATTAGTTATGCTTTTTGTATATTAGCCCCTTCTGTGACATATGGTTTATATATATTTTCTTCCATTTTTTAAGTTGCCTTTTCATTCTGTTGACTGTTTCCTTTGCTGAGTAGAAGCTTTTCAATTTGATGTAGTCCCACTTATCTATTTTTGATTTGGTTCCAAATCATTGCCAAGACCAATATTAAGAAACTTTTCTCCCATATTTTCTTCCAAGAATTTTATAATTTCAGGTCTTATGTTTAAGTTTTTCAGATTTACTTGTGTGAATGGAGCAAGATAGAGGTCCAATTAATTATTTTGCCTTTAGATATTCAGTTTTCCCAACAGCCTTTGTTGATGAGACTATCCTTTCCCTATTGTGTATTGTTAACATCATTGTAGAAGATCAATTGACTATAAATGTGTGAATTTACTTCCGCTTCCTTAGTCTACACTAATGTCTGTTTTATGCTGCTTTAATTACTGTAGGTTTGTAATGTGTTTTTTATTTCTCAAATCTCTTGGTTATTCTGGATGTTTTGGGCCAAGATCTGTGTTTAGCTTAAGGGCCGTCCAAGAGATGCAACACTCAAATAACCATGTTTTCTAGTTTCAGTAAGATTTTACATCTAAGGGCTTTGCTTTGAAAATATTGACCCTCCTAGGGCTAGCCAGTTCTTTTTTTTAAACAATTTTTTTTTTATTTTAAAGGCATATTTATAGAGAGATGTGTGTGTGTGTGTGAGTGAGTGAGAGAGAGAGAGAGCGAGCCAAGAGCCTTGACTTCTTCCGGGTCTCCCATGTGGGTGCAGGGGATGAGGAATTGGGCCATCTTCCATTGGTTTCCCAGATGCATTAGCAGAGATGTTGGATTGGAAGTGGAGCACCTAGGTCTCAAACTGGCGCCCATATGGGATGCCAGTGTTGCAGGCAGAGGCTTAACCTGATACATAACAATGCTGGGCCCACCAGTTCTTTTCTTAAAAAAATTTGTATTTGTTTATTTTATTTATATATATATGTATATGTATATGTATATGTATATATATATATATATATATTTGGAATGGTAGAGAGAGAGAGAGTGAGCACTTCCATTTACTGGTTCACTCTCCAAATGCCCACAACAGCCAGAGTTGGACCAGGCTGAAGCCAGGAGCCTGAAATGCAAGTTAGATCTTCCATGTAAGTAGCAGGGACCTAAGTACTTGATCTGTCATTTGCTGACTTTCCATGGTGTGCATTAACAGGATGCTTGCTCAGAAGCAGAACTGGAACTTGATATGGGAAGTGGGCATCCCAAGCAGTGCCAAATGCTTGCTCCTAGTCAGTTTTAGATACAGTAAAGAATTCATCTGCAAGTGTGTCTTTCATACCAACCAACCAGCCCTACAGGGCACAACCCAACCATTTCCCATATGGGCTTGCATACTCTGGGCTACTATTTACCTGCCCTAATCACCTCTATTCCGGGCCAGGTGCCAAACAAGCAGCACCAATCCATATGCCCCCGAGCCCACTGAAATTATTCAAACTAGATGATTCTAAATCCACTTACCTTGTTCGTTCTCATCCACACATTTTCTCTGAATATTTAGTCGAGCTGTTTGCATTCTTCACTGCCATTAGAATCACATAGGAAAGAGTAGAGTTTAAAAAATACTATGCTCAGCCGCAACTCTTGGTGTATTAAATCAGTCTCTGGTGATGGATCCAAATATCAAATATGAGAATTTTTAGAGTACCCTGATTAATGTTTCTGTGCAGCACACGTGAAGAATTATTCATGTAGTCTATCGACAGCTAAGAGTGGTCTCCGACTAGACTCAGAGCTTTGGGAAAGTTCTGGCCCTTACCTCACAATGCCTTCACACCTGAACATTCCATTCCCTTGATTGGCAAAGGCTGTTAAGTAAAAGCAACCACGGTGCTCCACTTAACTACTTGGGCTCCCACTCCCACTATAATGTCATTCTTTACAATTCGCCAATTTTAAAAATTAATTTGAAAATGATCAAACCTTTCAAATCCAGAATTTTGGTTTAAGCCCATCTTCATCTGGATAGATTATTCAGATAGGCCATGGCATTCTTCAAATCCCCAGCTTAAGTTACTGCCAGTATTTATTTTTTGCTGCATCTTTCTGTTGCCTCTATTTTCAAATCCTTTGTAGGAGTACAGCCATCATCCATAGTGCTAGCACACTGCTAGGTGTCACTGCAAGTGTCACTCTCTTTTTCTCACTCAGGCTTTTCTCTCAGCTGTAAAAGGCTAGCTTGCAGGGCAACAGTTTGGCACTGCAGCTAAAATGCTGCTTGGGGTACCCTCATCCCATAATGAAGTACCTGGTTCAAGTTCCAGCTCCTCCACTTCCAATCCAGGCTCCTGCTAATGCACACCTGGGAGGCAGCAGATGATGGCTTAAGTGTTTGAATCCCTGCCACCCATGTGAGAGAAACATATTGAGTCTCCTGACTTTGACCTCACCTAACCCAGGTTATGGTGGGCATCCGGGAAGTGAATCAGTAGATAGATCTCTGTCTCTCTGCTTTTCAAATAAAATGGAAAAAAAGTCTATTTTGCCCAAGCACAATCTGTAAATTCAGAAACTTTAAAGATCCTCTATGGGTAATTACCAGTCAATGGGAACTGTGGGTTATTAAGAAATAATACACACTGTCCTTCAAAGAGACACCTCTGAAATGTATTCTATGGGGCCAGCACTGTGGCTCAGCAGGTTAAGCCACTGCCTTCAGTGCTGGCATCCCATATGGGCACTGGTTCAATCCCAGCGGCTCCACTTCTAATCCAGCTCCCTTCTAATGGTCTGGGAAACAGTGGAAGATAGACCAAGTCCTTGGGCCCCTGCACCAATGTGGGAGACCTGGAAGAAGTTCCTGGCTTTAGCGTGGGCCAGCCTGGCTGTTGTGGCCATTTGGGGAGTGAACCAGCAGATGGAAGATTCTCTCTCTCTCTCGCTCCCTTCCTCCTTCCCTCCCTCCCTCCCTCCCTCCCTCCCTCCCTTCTCTGTCTGTAACTCTTTCAAATAAATAAATGTATCTTTTAAAAATGTGTTGTATGTAATTCTTCTGAATGTCCACATTGGAATTGGTCCTCTGTTGCCCATAACGGTTGTTATGGGTTGAGCAGAACCCAGCTCCCCAAATTCACACATATGTTTAAACTCAAGTCTTTATTTTTTAATATTTCTTTTATTTTTAATTGAAAGGCAGAGTTACAGAGAGATGGAGAGAAAGAGAGAGAGGTCTTCCATCAGCTGATTCACTCCCCAAATGGCTGCAGTGGCCAGGGCTGGGACAGCCTGAAGTCAGGAGCCAGGCATTCCAATTTGGGCCCAAGCAAGTGGGCCATTTTCCCCTGCCTTCCCAGGTGCATTAGCAGGGATGCTGAGTTGGAAGTGGAGCACCCATATATGGTGATGTTATAAGAATTCAGAGTTGGTTCTTTTTCTTATGGCAATAAGGGGTGGGGATGAGCAAAGCAAAAGTATTGTAGAGAGGTAGATTTTTATAGAGAATTATAGAGAATTGACAATTAAGACTATTGATATCCAGGAGACGTCCCCAAGAGAGAGGTCTGTCAAGGTCTAGGTATTGAGAGCTTATGTAGGGAGTGGATAGCAATCAATCAATCCTTCTAGGTAGTGTTCACACATCAAGGGTCTGTTTTTCACTGTTTCTAGGGCAGAGGTCATGGTTACTGATCAGTTAACAAATGTTACTTTATTGACCACTTGAGAAATTTGACAGTTGAGAACCTGCTGCTTTGTGGTGTGTTCTGCTCTGCCAGGTTTCTTACAGTTACCTATGGGTGTGGGACCCATTGTGTTCCCTATCCATCTTTTCAGTTTCATGGGGTGGTGCCTTTTGTCTCAGCAATGGAAGGCAGATTTCATGCAAACACCTGGTTCCTATTCTCATGGATTTACCCTAACTGCCTACTAACCCTTCTATCTCTTCACAGCAGATCAACTGGTTATGCCATGACACTCATCCCATAAACTCAGAACTCGTATTAAGGGTTGGTGGATTAAGGGTGGGGACTTGATATAATTATGGTGTCTGAAAGATGGGTCTGATGGGAGGTCTTTAGGTCACTGGGGTGCGCCCTCAGATGGTAGCTTTTACTAGGGTTGGTTTTAAGCTGAGTTCGGCGTCTCTTCTTTCTGCTGCTAGGATCCCTGTGTGATGGTCCCTCTGTTCTTGATCCTGGATCCCTGTGTGATGGTTCCTCTGTACCCAGTCCCAGATCGCTGTGTGATGGTTCCTCTGTACTTGATCCTGGATCCCTGTGTGATGGTTCCTCTGTACCCAGTCCCAGATCACTGTATGATGGTTCCTCTGTACTTGATCCTGGATTCCTGTGTGATGGATATGTACCCAGTCCCAGATCCCCATGTGATAGTTCCTCTGTACTTGATCCTGGATCCCTGTGTGATGGATCTGTACCCAGTCCCAGATCCCCGTGTGATAGTTCCTGTGTACCTGATTAGCTACTGCCAGCCACCACCAGAGGCCAGACTAGCTGGGCTGCCTGATCCTGTAGGATGAACCTCTGCAACCTAACTAGAAATATGCTTTTTCCTTCCCAAGGAGCTACTCTTGGCTATTTTAAGTAACAGAAAGCTAACACAATGGTCATCAATGCAATCAGTCCCTGTTGTGGCTTTCTCATTTTCTATGCCATCTCCCTTTTCTGGCTTCCTATTATCTCTTCCCTCATAAATCGCATTTACCCAAGTCTCTTTTTCTTGGATGAAAAACACAAATAACACATTTTCCCAGAGGAACATAAGATTGTACCACCTCTCTCATTATTCCAATTAACCTTTAAAGAATCTACATTGTAGCCAAGGTTTACATTAGGAATTATGTAAAGGCAATGCTATCATTGTGTGCATATAGATTTCTGCTTTATTTTAATTAAAAATTATGTGATTTATATTTTACTATAATTTAAATGGTGATTTTTATTTTATTATAATTTAAATAGTGATTTAAATTTAATTATAACTTAAAGATGTGATGGCAATAAATATTTATGATATAGAAAATAAATATACAATGAATAATATACAATTATTTTATAAAATTTATTAATGTAGATTGACTAGTATGATTAAAATAAAATTTAATGTTTTAAAAATATGTATTTACTTTTTTTTAAGAATAATTGTGTATTGATTACAGTATTCAACCAAAAGTATTAAGTAGAACAAACAAAAAAAATACTAAGAGGGATAACATATTAAGTTGTTCATCAACAGTCAGGGCAAGGGCTGATCAAGTCACCGTTTCTCATAGTGTTCATTTCACTTTCACAGGTTTCCTTTTTGGTGCTCAGTTAGTTGTCACCTATCAGGGAGAACATGTGGTATTTGTCCCTTTGGGATTGGCTTATTTCACTCAACATAATGTTTTCCAAATTCCTAATAGGGATCACTTTTCAGTTAAATTTAAACACCTAAGAATAATTGTGTGTTAATTACAGAATTCAACCAATGGTACTAGAACAAAAAAAAACCACTAAAATGGATAAAGTTTTACACTGTACATCAACCATCAGGACAAGAGCTGATCAAGTCACTGTTTCTCATAGTGTCCATTTCACTTCAACAAGTTTCCCCTTTGGTGCTCAGTTAGTTGTCACTGATCAGGGAGAACATATGATATTTGTCCCTTTGGGACTGGCTTAATTCACTCAGCATGATGTTTTTTTACTTTTGAAAGGCAGAGAGAGAGACAGACAAAGTACTCTTACACACTGATTCAGTCCCCAAATGCTTGCAACAGGTGGGCCTGGACTCTGAGGCTAGAAGCCCAGATCTCAATCTGGGTCTTCCATGTGTGGGCAGGAACCCATGTATTTGAGCCATCACCTCCTGCCTCCCAGGAAGACAGGGTTGGAACTGGAGCCAGGACTCAAACCCACTCTGACGTTGAATTCAGGCATCCCAAGTGGTATCTTAACCAACAGACTAAATGCCTGCCCTCAAATATAATTTAAACATTAATTTACATTCTATTATAATATAAATATAATTTAATATGATTTTCTATGTTATATCCAATATCAAAACATTTCTATAAAGTATATATTGATATCAATAAATCAAATCACATATATTGAAAAAAAATGACTTTGAGTTACCACTTGGTGGCAGTACTTGCAAGCTTTTATCTCAGGTATAATCTCACTATGCATCTGTGGAAATTATGTTGTGGTATGGTCATTCTTGTAGGTGCAAGCAAAAATCCCCCTGGAAAATCTGTCTTTGTGACCCTCACTATTTCCCACTCTGGTCAGGCTAGCTGGGGTCACAATGCCATGTGCTGCATGTCAGGCTTCCTTGCTCACTCACGGAGGCCTGCAGAAGTGAACAAACCAGCCTGTCTGCTTTACAAGTGACTGTTCCATCACCACTTGTCTCTCCTTGGCTTACCCAGGAGCTATGGGCAGTGCTGTGTGGTGGGCAGTGATGCAGTTAGTTGTGTGAGCATGTGAATGTGTGGTCCAGGCACTCAGGATGATACCCACATAAATGGAGTAAACACTCCTTTTTCACATCTGTGTTCCAAAAAAAAATAAGGCTTTGTACATGTTGTTTGGCCAAAGTGAGTCTAGAAACAGACACTCAGTTTGGGATTCTGGAACTGAACCATGACTCTGCAGAACAGTGGTCCCTGGAGTGGTGGTAACCCTTTGGATATTGTACCATTACATTGACCTAACCAGAGGTCAGCACAGCATGGCCCACAGGCCACATCCGTCCTGCTGCCTATTTTTGTAAATAAAGTTTCAAAGGAACACAGTCATACCCATTCATTTACAAATTATCTTGAACACTCTGGATGAATCCTTATGACATAGACCCTGTGGACTGAAAACCTCGAAACATTATTATTTGACGTTTTTTGAACAAAGTTTGTAGAGCTAGCTGGGTGGTATTGTTACAGGAATTGTGGAGCTGATTGTTTGCTTTGCTGGGATGAAGAATTACTATGTGGATTACTATGTGGATACTATGAGGGTTGGCAAGAATACAACTTTTATTGAGGGAGTCACAGAGAATTGAGAAGTAAGATTCCTGCTACCCAGTAGGGGGTATCCAAAGGAGGGGTCCATCAGCTCTGGGTATTGAGAGCTTAAAGAGGGAGTGCATATCAATTGATCAATTCTTTACATAGTTTCAATACATCAGTGGTCTGTTTGCTTTTTATTTCTAGTCTCCTGGGAAGTAGTCATGGTTACTGACCAGTTAAAAACATTGCCCTTGACTTGCCCCAAATGGTAGAGTTAGAAACATACCAGGGGACTCCAATTCAATCCCGTCAAGGTGGCATGTACCAATGCCATCTCACTAGTCCAAGTGATCAATTTCAGCTCACAATTGATCATAATGAAAGGACTAAGAGTCAAAGGGAGCACATAAACAAGTCTAGTATCTGCTAATACTAACCGATAGAATACATAAAGGGGAGAGTGATCCAACATGGGAAGCGAGATACTCAGCAGACTCATAGAATGGCAGATGTCCTAAACAGCACTCTGGCCTCAGAATCAGCCCTAAAGGCATTCCGATCTGGCTGAAAAGCCCATGAGAGTATTTCAGGCATGGAAAGCCAAGACACTCTGGCAAAAAAAAAAAAACAAAAAAAAAACAACAAAAAAAAACCTAAATGAAAGATCTCTGTGAGTGAGATCCCAGTGGAAAGAACAGGTCTTCAAAGAAGGAGGTACCTTTCTCTGAAGCGAGGAGAGAACCTCCACTTTGACTATGACCTTGTCTAAACAAGATCAGAGTCGGAGAACTCAAGGGGCTTCCATAGCCTTGGAAACTCATGACTGGAGCATGGGGAGATTACTGAAGCCATAACCAAGAGTGTCAATTTGTAAAGTCAACAACAGGAGTCACTGTGCACTTACTCCTCATGTAGGATCTCTGTCCTTAGCGTGCTGTACATTGAGGCTTAATGCTATAATGAGTACTCAAACAGTATATTTCA